TTTTTTTTTTTTTTTTTTTTTTTTTTTTTTTTGCCCCGTGACCTGTGATAATCTGTGTTTTGCCGCGTCGCTTCGCCGTTCCGTTGTTCCGTTGATTGCACGAGTCGTCGACTCGATCTTGAGCGAATAGACGGAAGACCAAATGAACCTGTTGCCAAACGTAAGTTAAGGGAAGAGAAGGGATAGCGAACAAAAAAAAAAAGGGAGAAAAAAAGAGAGAGAAAGATAGAAGGGACACTTTTGTATCACTTGTACTTATACCGTGAGTGCTGTAATATACACGTAAGTTAACAATTGTTATCGTCACTTGGTAAGCGAATGGCTCACACATTTTTAAATCATTCGAGAGAAAGAATGAAAAGAAACCACTCCTCGAGCGTACATTGATTAAGGTTGTATGCATACAGGGACCTAGAAAGTTTGTATATCTCGTTGGTATATATTAAAAGAAAAAAGTAAAAAAAAGAAAAAGAAAAAAAAAGAAAAAAAGACGTCCGAAGGTTATCGAAAGTAGTATACACGCAGTTATGTCTGTCCAACAACCTATTCGATTTACGTAAGACGTCGAGTCTCGAAACTGCACGTTCCCTCCCCAACCCTCAGTCCTTTTCACGTCGTTAGCGAACTTGGTAACACTAGCGCCGCTGATCGACGCAATCGCCAACGATCGACGTCCGCCATTTGGAATTATCGTCGACGAAGAGGTCCCCTTCTCGCCAATAATCGAATAATCGAGTGCTTCTCGCGGCCAAAGAGGACGGGCTCGTTTTTTGTACATAGCTCGAGAAAAAAAAAAAAAAGAAAAAAAGAAAGAAAGGAAAAGTGGAAGATTAAACTCGTTCGTTTGCTCAAGTGTCAGAGAAACTGTAGAAAAAATGAGAGGAGGCTAAAAATAATAATTTCTGATGCTAGAACTCGTAAGACTTGCGACTTTTTATAACGAGCATACATACGTACGTACATTACATACATATATTGTATAGCCGATCCGATATTTTTCGATGTTGATCGTTTTAGAAGCTCGCTGTGCATAATTTTAAGAATTTCACATCTTTCCAGCAATCTATCCGTTCGGTGTGTATAATATAATTGATGATTTCAGTTCAATGGGTAGCAATTATAGTGCTTCCAATAGACGTGCTGCGGTTATTTACTTTTCACCTAGCCCCCGGCTCATCCACATTTTTGCTCACTAACGTTCCGGTTCTGTTCCCTGGGGGGTCTGTTGAAGTTCTGCGTTGATTAGTTTCTTCATCTACATGATTATTGCCAATTACTACATTCGGAGTACGTTTTAACTCGTCATTGATTCCGGTCGTTCAAATTGTTTTCGTTTACACTTCAAGTACACTGCGCGAGAAGAAATTTTCTTTCGCCTCTGTCTTTGATATTTTAAGGATTGCGAGGTGTTAGACAAGGCATCAGAGACGTTCAGACAATGTAATTTTTAAGGCGCACACGTTGCATTTAAAGAATATAATATTGATTCGTTCAATTTGTCTACTATATCCCGCAGCCATAAATGTAAAGAAAACTATCCACCGTTCTATCAAACACCTGTTACATCCAAGTTCACGGTTCTTTGCTTCCCTCGTAATTTACTTAATAGATACCCACATTATTTCTATTTTCTCACCAAATTCTTTGTGACAGAGAGTAACAGTACTCCCAACCACCTGCCTGATAAGCTAACAATCTTTTCAAGATAATTCAAGATAATTAATTAATAACCAGATGATTAATTCCTCGACGAAATCACGTCCATCTACCTCAAATCATGAATACATCCTTCGCCCTTTCTTTCGATTTTCTTTTCCAAAAAAAAAAAAAAAAACAATCCTTCACGCAATCTCCCGTCCCTGAACACGCACGCTTCCAACATCGTTCCTAACCTCATTTGAACCTCCTAAAAAAAAAGTCCGCTCTGTCAGTTTGTCAAACATCCTGTAATCTGATTAGGAAACCCAATCTCCCATCCAATTTTCAGCTATAGAAAGCGCAGAATCATCGGCTTGCGAACAGCGTTTCTCGACCCCGATGGACACAGTTCGGCCGGACACGTGCAGTTTCTAAGACGAGAGCCCCCCCCCCCCCCCCCC